AGATGCAGTTAGCGCCAGAAAATGCCAGCATTGGTTTGAGAAATTTCGCGAGGGAAATTTTTCTTTAGGTGACAAGAGTGGTCGAGGCCGTGTGTCCAATTTTGATCAAGAAGCTCTCAAGCTCTTTTGGTGCAAAATCCTCAAATTACCCAACAAGAGCTTGCGACAACTTTAAACTGTTCACAGAAAACAATTTCCAATCAATTGCATGCACTTGGCAAAGTCCAAAAGTTTGGAAAATGGGTTCCTCATGAGTTGACCGACAACAACCGTAATCAAAGAGTCACAATTTGCAGTTTGCTCCTCTCTTGTCAAAACCGTTTGCCGCTTTTAGAGCAAATTGTTACCGGAGATGAACAATGGGTGCTGTATGTTAATTTGAAAAAGTGGCCTCAATGGTTGGACAAAAATGAGGCTCCGCAGCCCACGCCAAAACCTGACTTGCATGCGAAAAAAGTGATGTTGTGTGTTTGGTGGAATTTTAAAGGAATTCTTCATTATGAACTTTTACCATCTAACCAAACTATTACAAGTGCAGTGTATAGTGCCCAATTGGAAAGGTTAGCCCAAGCTTTAAGAGAAAAAGAACCCGCGCTGATTAATCGGAAGGGCGTAATTCTTCACCACGATAACGCACGACCGCATACTGCAAGAATCACTGCTGAAAAACTGTGCCAGTTGGAATGGGAAGTTCTCCCTCAACCTGCTTATTCTCCTGATATTGCCCCTTCCGATTACCATTTGTTTCGTTCTTTGCAAAACTTTCTTCTTGGAAAAAAATTTAATAATGAAGAATGCCTCAAAAATGCATTGACCGAATTTTTTGCATCAAAATCACAAGAATTTTACAACAGAGGGATTAAAATGCTTCCTGAGCATTGGGCACAAGTAGTAGAAAACAATGGCAACTATATTGTTGATTAAATTTTGTTGTATTGTTTAAATAAATTCGATTTAAAAAAGTATTAGAGAACGACATTAATTATTACTAGACCTAATATAAGAATTTTCTGCTACTCAACTGCCAGTGTAGTTGTGCATGAAGAATTCTTATTAAGTCAAAAGGGAACAGAATGCATTTCAAAGCAGAATTGACCCCTTGGATTCAGTTTTACCAATGGAAAGACTCCAGTCACTATAGACTCTTTTCCCTACTCAAAAAGAGATCCTCTCTACTAATAACCATTAAAATGCTCCACACTTTTAAGTTTGCAGCATCATAGCCTCATTACAAATTAGGTATTTAGAGAAAACTGCATTTCCCTTAAAAGAAAATGTTAAGTATGTACAATTCCTCCATCATGCATTTTTTTAAATACTGACTGTTTTTGCAACCTTGACTCAGGCAAATGCTCACGGAGGCTATAGAACTGATTTAAGTATAAGTTTTATGCCTGATTGTAAACCATTCTAAAGATTTTTTTAATGCGAAAAATAACATCATCATTGTGAATTCTGCTCTGGAATACAAAGGCAGGAATTAAATTGTGCTGTTAAAATGTTAGCAACTACATTTCATTTTTTGAAGAGGCAATTCAGTTTTCTGAAATAAAGACTTGATTATATCTCTTGTTACTGTTATAAGAATCTGATATATCACAAAATATAAGAGTTACAGCATGTGCCAACTATCAACCAGGAAAAATGAACATGATTCATAATTCACTTTGAGAATGTCTAGTTAGTCAATCAAGTGATTTGTAATCATGAAGGCTGCCAGAAGTTGAATGAATAATGAGCCACAGTAAAACCCCTGGATTTTTTTAGTATTCTTATTTCATTATGTGACTTTTATTGCTATTTTTAATCTCTGTTTCTCAGCATCACAAATTAAATCACATATTTACTTAGATTTTTTTTACTACTAAATAGGCTAAAGGATATACAAGTTGAATGACCAGAGTATTTAATGTCTTCCTACAAAATTAAAAGTTTTCATGTTTATAGCCGAAGTAAAGAAAATTGCATTCCTTCCAACCTTCTCAACACTTGCCTCATTTTATCTAAATTATTTGGTGAATATGCTATTTCAGCATAGCTCATTCTAATTCAGTATATTTTCTTAAGTTGTTTTATATAGTCTAAAACAAATAAAATCATTTATCAGAATCTAGTTGTTATTAGAAGTCTTAAGCTTGCTTTTAATATTTTCATTGCATAGCATTTCCTCAGTTAAAGTTATAACATAAGCTGATGGCCAAAGAACATTTTACCCCTAATCCATATAATCTTATTAAATGATAAATAGATGAAATATAAACCAATTTAAGGCTTGGCATATTATTAAAAGGATAATGTGATAAATTAGTGTTTTTCAAAATATAAAACTACTAAGCTATGTAAGATTTTGTCATTCTGATAACACTGACCATTAATCAGGAGTGTATTACATAAGAATTATAGTTTAAAGCAAATGGAACTTTAAATGTGATAACCAAATAGGCTCATTTTTTACTTACTTTCCATAATTTTCAAGCAAAGGGGTCCTTTTCCAACTTTCGATGGATTATGACACCAGAACACATGTGGGCGTCCTTAAGGAAAGTAAGAGAGTCCTTGAGTCAAGATCTATCATACTCATATTGAAATATATTTATGAAAAATCAACTACCTAAATTTTATGGGTATATTCCCAATAATAAATGTTTGTTTGTTCAAGATAACAGTATCTTGAATTCCAAGAAGTCAATGTGATTATAGTGAGAACTCAGAGAACTATTTTCTACACTGAATGGCCCCTGAAAAGTATAGCCATACTCCATCTTAGAATTACTTTATCACCCCTGTCATACCAACTATTAGAATCATCTTTTCTTTAAAAAATAAAAAAAAATATTTTCTTTCCTATCAAGATCAACCAACCATTCCTTCATTCATTCTCTCAGTCATTCAAAAATGTTTATTAAGAAGCTACTATGTTCCTCCTTGTGCTGAAAACTGAGGATATAAAAATTAGACACACCACCTTTTTATTTGCCCTTAATAAATCTATAGTCTAGATAAAAAGAGACATATAAATAAGTATAATAAAATATAGGTTCTAGGATAGGCCTATGTACAGGAAAGGCTTAACGCAAGGAAAGTTCTCCCGGCCAGAGTAGCTCAGTGGCTGAGCATCGACCATGAACCAGGATGTCATGGTTCAATTCTTGCTCAGAGCACATGCCTGGGATGCGGGCTCAATCCCCAATCCCAGGCATGTAGGATGCAGCCAATCTAAATCCTCTCTCCTCATTGATGTTTCTGTCTCTCTCTCCCTCTCCCTTCCTCTCTGAAATCAATTAAAAATATATATATTAAAAAGAAGAAGGTAAGATTCACTGGCAGAGGTCAGTAGTCAAGAAAGTCTTCAAAAAAATAACAAAGCCGAGTCTTAAATGAAAAGTTGCTACTTACCAGGAGCAAAGAGGAAAAATTATAATAGTAAGAAGGAAAATATTAATGAAGATTTAAAAGTACCAAATAACAAATCATGGTAGGATGACTACAAGCTATTTAGTCTAAGACTAACATGTAAGTAGTATATATGAGGGCTGCCAGAGGTAAGCCTAAAGCAGTATGCAATGGCTCAATAACAAAAGACCTTGTATTATACATACACTAAAGAGAACACAGTCTATCTTTTATAAACAATAGAAACCATCAAAGGATTTTAAGTATAAAAATCATCGGATCATAGATTTCCATGATGTCTAAACAACTTATGCATTTGGCTTTCCTCAACAAAGATCAAACCAACATTTCACATTTCATTATGTGTCTGTTAGAGAACCATCACCGTTTTAGCCTACCTGTTTTATATTCATATGCAAATGATTTTCCAGAACAAGGTTCTCAGCCTCTAGCAAACTTGTGAGTAAAGTAACAATCCTATTATCTAAAAAGTGAGGTAGATACTAAAGATACACCAATTTCCAAGGGAATCACCAAGATTCTACTTAAAGAACTCATACATGTGATATATGCATTTGCATATACCTACAACATTAAATATTCATAATCTACTGACAGGCTGTCACAAGTTATGCCCACGTGAAGTCACAAAAGCAAATGTTGTGGCCAGTGACATTTTGGTGTGCCTTGATCAGCAGTATAAAATCACTGTGAACTAGCCAGAATGTTTCATAAGCGAAGCAGTTCAGTCCTGAGTTACATACATAAAAGCTTCATGCAGCTTAACACAGAACTTCTAAATAGTAGACCACAGAAGCTCTGAGGTCATATATCCACACTTGGAATCCTGGGTCAGCTACTTGCACAACTTATTAAATTCTTTTAGTCTCAGTTTTCTTATCTATAAACTTGGGACAATTACTCCTACCCCATATAACTGTTGTGAAGATATAATGAGACATAGAAAGCACTTAAGCATGGAACTGAGCAAATATTCATTATTTAATATCAATAAATAGTATTTTATTACAACTATACTAAAAATTATTCTAGTTATGACAAACTCAAATTTATATGCTACCTAATTTTGTTAGATTTGGATTATTAAAGAAATTTCCAAAGTCTAGTCCAACTGAAAATGTTTGAGGTAGGCCAAATGTGAAAATAATAATCATCATACTGAGGCAAATGATATAAAATAATGTATTCAAGAAACAAAATTTTAAAAAATGCATCAAGTTACACTGACTAATTACTTATAAAGCATGGGAAGAGAGAGTCCAATCTTTCCCCCCCCCCCCCAATATTGAATTTTTAACATCCAAAGGGGAAAAGTATCTCGTTTTATTCTAGAAATCATATATTCATAAGAGGTCAAATATAAAACCATAGTCTAAATCATCTAGTAGGGAATTTGGAAACATTGAAATCATCCAATCTTAATATAGAAATACTCAGAGACTTTGCAAGGAAAAGAAAATTGTACAATAAAACTTTTCTCAAATTATAGTGCCATGTTATTACTGTTTTAAATTTCATGGCCTCTTCCAAAAAAAAACACATAGTATAGATAGTAAGGCTGTTTATAATCATGTAATGTCATGTACCTGTAGTATAAGGAACCCCTCCTTACAGTCAGGACTTTCATCTGCCTTCAGTGAGCATCAGTCCTACCATTCTGCAGCCTTGGGATTTGTTTATAGCCTGAAAGAAGGAAAATAAAAATATAATAACAACAGCAACAAAACAAACAAAAAAAAGTCAGAATACTAACAAAGCAAGACTATAAAAGAAAATTTACTTTGACAGCCTGACAAAGAAATGACTCAATCGAAAACAACTAGAAAAAAATGAGGATCAAAGCAACATTAGTAACTGCATCAAGTTATTTCTGTATACTCGCATATGTTTACATATATGTACATAATTCATTGTCAGATATGACTCATGGGTCAAATCACAAAAGTACTTAGTAGAATAAAATGAAGTTATGATTATTAAATATGTATTAAATAATATTGACCTGAACTACAGATTGCTAAGCATACACACTACTAACTCTTATAAAATTAAACATATGTAGTCATCGACTATATCTCTGAATAGCAAGCATTAATGATGGCTACCAGTTGAAAGACCAAAATGGAGGAGAATTTTCATATTGATACTGCAATTTCCTAAAATCAGTAATATATTTTAAAGTAGTATAGGACAGATCATTCAGCCAATATTCATCCAAATAAAAGTCATTAATTATAAGTTAGTTAGCATGTGTTATATAAAAATAAGATGAAGGTGAGAGGGAAGTAATCAAACTACTTTTAGCATAAACACCAAATTATTATTTCCATTATTTTTCATTGTTAGGTTATTTCTGTGTGATCCTATATTCAAGTAATAAAGCATTATGGTTTAAAATCTCACAAAACAAAATCTAAAACACTGAAAACATAAAATAACACTAGCATGATCTTTCCTGTATGAAAATGACAATGACTCACCATCCATAGAAGAGTTTCAAGTTGTTTTTCCACAATGGAAATGGACTTGCTGATCTAGCCAGTTCCCTTGCCAAAGTTCCCTGGTGAAGGAAAGCTTTTATCTGCAGGATGAGTGTTACCAGTAGTTACCAAAAACATCTAAATTAAATAATCAACATAGAAATAAAACTTGTGCCTTGATTCCAAGCCACTATGCTCTGATGGCCTACAAATGAAGCCATGAAAATATATAAATACTACATAATGCTTACATATAAAGTTGCACATATATTTCCTTAGACACATTCACTGTATTCTATGTATACTGAACTAAAAATACAAACAATCAGAGTCTGACCTCTATCCCTAAATAAAAATCTTCCGAGCTGTCTTAGCTAAAACAGAGATTGCTTCTGACATGTAAAATCAGAAGTATATAATGAAAATGCTCAGAACGTGAAAGCATGCCTATTTGACATTCCTCATCACAAGTGCAATAACTGAGGAAATTACAGAATATTTTTGTTAATGTTAGTGATATTCTCAACAGCATTAAGTATAATATGACTACAGGCAAAACTACTTTGACATTTCCATAATTCTGAAAAATATCAACTTTTTATGAAGAAAAATATTTTTGTTACTAGCTACAGTGTTCATTCATGCTAGTACATGCAAAGGTTTTGTAATTAAATATTCCTGATATGAAATTTTATCAGTTGCCTTGCTCAATCTCCATAAGAGTTGAAGAGCTGATTAAACATATTCAAAGACATAGTTCTTAAGTATAAGTAAAATTAATGTTATGTGTTTCTTTATTATTTAAGAAAATAAAAAGCTTAGATTAACATGTTAAAAATCAATGAGAAAGAGTCAACAACTAGGCATAATTTAAATAAACTCACAATGCTAAGTATCTCTGAGCAAAGCACTCATGTGGTTCTGTGAACAGGTGATACACAATTTCAAAGAAATCACAATATTAATATTTTGGAAACATTCCATTTTCGGTTCTACATACTTGTTTGCAATAATAAACAGCTAAATTCTAACCCAGATCCTCCGCCAAAATAAAATACGAGGTGGAAAAGCATGGCATCACACCAGCTCATTGCAGCTACCAGAGGGATGAGGCCCTGGGGCTCCTCTTGCAAGTGGAGAGAAGGAAACTTCAATAGAGATGGTGAGAACATCTGCTACGACCTCTGATGTAGGTCTACCATCACCTGTAGACAAATGAACTTCATTAATTTTAAGACACTAAAAATGTTTCCAATCACAATTCCATTTTAATGAATCATTGTCTTTAACAACTCTTTATTACATTCATTACCATCATCCCACAAAATTGGGAGTTGTCCACTAAACTGCAAACCCCTAAAGTTCCTCTTCATTTTAGTTTCCCACTTCCACAATGCCTAGCTGAGCACCTTCCAAACTGTAATGTTTAATAAATGTTTGATAAATTGAAGCTAACTAGTCATCTTACTCCCTCACCTATTACCCCTCCCACCCTCAATAATCACTTATTCTAGCTATAGCTACCATTCCTGATGAAAAGACAGGATTATTATTCATTCTGTAAATATTTTTGCTTGATCACCTACTGGGTACTATGTTAAGTACAATGGATTCTAGTGTAAATATGATAACACCTGATTCCTGTCCTTAAATAACTCAGTCTAGTACAAAAGATAAAGATGGAAATTAGCCATTATAAAACCCTGTAATCAGTTTATAACAAGTTTTGTAGAAAGTGCTATACATACTATAATAAAAGGAAGTGAAAACTGGCTCAGAATAAAAGCTTTGGAAAGGAAATGCCATGTGAGATGAGTACTAAAGAATGAGTAGCTCCTGGGCGGAGGGAGAAATACAGAAAGGGCATGCTCAGTAAAGACAAGAGATGAAAAAGGGGCACATGATATTCTGAGAACTTCAAGAAACTTTTGGGAAAGTAGCAGTGAGAAGAAAAAGGCAAAAGAAATAATACAGAAATGCCTTATTATGCTAAAAAGCTGGGCCTCTGTCCTGACTGAAGGAGGTAAGCCAGGAGGATGACATGAGCATTGAAAAGATGTTGAAAGCAACGGGGAGGATGGGAGGAAGAACAAGACTAAAGGCAAAGGACGAAACAGGATAAGACAAAGCTGGTATGACCTAATGGCTTATATAATTATGGTCACCCAACTCATCACTAATGACCATTAAGTCTGTTACCCAATATATTTCCAATTTAAATATACATTTATTTATTTTTAATATATATTATTGATTTTTTACATAGAGGAAAGAAAAGGGATAGAGTGTTAGAAACATCGATGAGACAGAAACATCTATTCAGCTGCCTCTTGCACATTCCCTACTCGGGATGTGCCCGCAACCAAGGTACATGCACTTGACTGGAATCGAACCTGGGACCCTTGAGTCCACAGGCTGATGCTCTATCCACTGAGCCAAGCTGGTTGGGGCTTAAATATATATTTAGAGAATGCAGACTCTAATGTATTTTAGAAAACTGTTAATGCAGTATGATCTCAATGAAAAATCATATCAGGAATTACAAAGAAATTACATCGAGATGCCAAAATGTTAATAATGACTAGCTCTGGGTAGTGGGGCTACAGGTCATGTTTTTCTTTTTGTTACTGATATATTTCAAATTTTCTACATGATAATATTTAAAATATATCCTAGAGCAATTGCTTGAAACTTAGCTAAAACTGGCATTAACCCTAAAGGGTCAGAGCCAGGATTCCTTGAGAATATAATTGGCCCCCAAACCTCCCTGTAGCACCAACCCCATCTATACATATAAAAGTCCAGTGACTGAACGGCAGAACTACTAAAACGACTGGTCAATCAGTCACTCTGATGCACACTGACCACCAGGGGGCAGATGCTCAAAGAGCGGGTCCACAGCCTTTCAGCTGATCAGGATGAGTGGCACTCCCATAGCAGGCCAATACCCATAGGCCATGCTCCCCACCAGTGCATGAATCCCATGCACCAGGCCTCTAGTTATACATAAAATGCTCATTCCTACATTAGGACCTAAACTCATGTCCTTTTTGCTTCTTTTGCAACATCCTCTTACCCTGAATGCCTACCTGTATCCCAATTTGATCATACCATCAGCTATACCCATTTTTACATACAATACCAATACCTTATTATATGCCCCACACATCATGATATCCAATCATCTCTTATTGAAATCCTTTTTGAACAGTTCTCAAATTTGTTCTTCCAACAATATTTTATAATAATACTAGTGCAACATCAGTTCTATTCTAGAACAAATATTCACACATGAGTCTGTTACAAATATACTAATGGCCCAGTGCACAAATCTGTGCACATTGAAAGGAAATTAATTAGAAGAAATATTTTAATATCGCTACTCGCCCTAGAAGTGTCAACCAAATTCACGATCAACAATGACAAATGGAAACACCCGCATGCAAGAGCTTTATAGGTATCATGCGTGCATGTGTGAGTCACTTAGCCTTTTATAGATATAGAATAAACTTGCTTAATTAGACCTACTTTCTGACTTAGCTAAAGTTTTTCCAGCCGAGTGAAGCACCCCAACTTCTCTTTCAGGTAATTGTCAGCAACACAGCAGTAAATATCAACACAAGGCAGATTATTATTGTAGGTCACACAGGGAGAACAAAGGGTAAAATATTTAACTGCAGCAGAGTTTGACTAAATTCTGCACAGTGAGAAAACCTGAAGTCATTTTCAACTTACTTCTTTTCAGTTGGGTCAAGTTTCTAAGCTTTCTAAATCTCCATTTTCCAGCTAATGAAAAGAAAATGGGATTCCACCGAGTCTCCTAGCTACCTACTCCAGGACTTTTGTGGGGATCACAAAAGTAGGATTCCACCAAGTCTCCTAGCTACCTACTCCAGGACTTTTGCAGTGAAAACACTCCACAGACATTTGGTTAAAGTGTAAAATGTTTCCACTTGGCTATAAAGCAAGTTGTGTTCCTGGGCTAAAGAAACTCCAAGGAGGCTAGATGCTAGGGAAAGGAGGCTGGGTGTTACTACGTGACGTCATTACCCAGAGCCCACAGCAACTGATTCTGGGCTGGCCAGGGGATCTCGGCAGCATCAGCTGAATTTTGGTGGGGTGGTGGCAGGGCCTGTGTCCCACTTGAGGGAAGCCGAGTGTTGCTTTGTTGGCCAGGTCCGTGCTGCCATTTCTTGTAAATGGCAAGTGTGCATCACAGCAGCTCCTGTGTTGAGTGTCTGGCCCCTGGTGGTCAGTATGCATCATAGTGACCAGTCAGACAGTGGGAAGGACACTTAGCATATTAGTCTTTTATATATAGAGATGTGCATATAATTACACTGCTGGTTTGATAAACTGCAAATTATATTTAAAAAAAAAAAAAAAACACTACTAAAGTGTTTCCAAATCTATTGTTATAGAAAAAAAAATTGCCTATTGCTATGAGTTGAATTATGTCCCCCCCCAAAAAAAAAAATGTTGGAATCCTAACTCTCAGCATCTGTAAATGTGACCTTGTTTAAAAATAGGATCTTTGCAAATGATCAAGATGAGTTCATTAGGATGGGCTCTAATCCAATATGACCAGTGTCCTTATAAAATAGAGAAAGCTTGAACAGAGACAGATATACACAGAGAGGACACCATATGAAGAGGAAGGCAGGGATTGGGGTGATTTACATATATAAGCCAAGGAACACCAAAGATTGCCAGCAAATCACCACAAGCTAGGAGAGAGGCATGAAATAGATCCTCTTCCTCACAGCCCTCAGAAGGAACCAACCCTGCCAACACCTTGATTTTGTACTTTCAGTCTCCAGAACTGGGAGACAATAAATGTCTGTTGATCAAGCTACCCCATATTTGTTACTTTGTTACAGCAGCTCTAGCAAAATAATATACCTACTAAGGGAAACCAAGATTATTTTCCCTGAAAGTCACTAAAAATAAAAAACCATTTTGAAGAAAGGTTGCAAATCAGAAATAATAAAGTTCCTTGATATTAATTTTTCAATTTGGTAGCAAAAGTGCTATTTAATAGCTAAGCCAACCTATTGCAAAAAAAAAAAAATCTCTCAGATATGAGTCATCCTTCATCCTTTAGAACATTTTATATGTACAGCATCACATAAACTCTGAAGAATGTCATCACCCTATAAATTCTGGAACATGAGAATAACATGAAATTACATAGTAGATGTCCCTTTGTTTTGTAAGAGTTTTCTGTGGAATTTTACATACCTGTGAGAATCTAATTTGGCCTATCATAAAATCATAAAGTAGCTCCTTCTCAATGAGTTACATGATAAGGAGCAATGAAATAACCATGGATCAGGAATGGGCTCTGGAGTGACAGACTTCAGCTCGAACCTTTGCTCTGTTACTCATCAGCCATGTGATCTAAGCAAAAAAAAACTTAACCATGTTTGGGCTTTAAATTCATCAGTAAAATGGAAACTTTATATTTTTACGTGAATAGATCAAATAATATGAGATGTGCTTAACATATAATGATGATAATGGGGTTTTAATAGTTATATAAAAATTAATAGTCAACCAAAAAAGAAAGAAAGAAAAAGTAAAATTCATAAATTAAGGGCTTACTTTTTTCCTTTATTTGTAATTTATTGAGGTGACCCTGGTTAACAAAATTATATACTTTGCTAGAGTAGGACAATAATTAGAAAAGCTTATATGAGAATAAAACTATTGCCTTTGGCTACTTCTTTACTATAAAATGTAGGACCTTCAAAATCTTTCAACCATTTGTTAAAACTCAAGACACATTTAAACTTATTAATATTGGAACTGAAATACAAATAGGATATCAGTGACTTTGGGCTCCATGATAGACATCAGTTGGAATGTGGCTTTCAAAGCTCCTATAATAATACTCCTTTCTTTCCTCAAAACACTAAGCTCTAGCTAGTCCAAAAAAACCACAACTTAGACTGGTAGCAGGTTAACTGTAATAGTATGACACAATCCACTGTACCCTTCTACCAGGTATTACTGCTCTAATTTTTGGCTCTTTTTAAACATAAAACTATTTAAATTGAAATATACATCTCAAAATGTAACTAGTTGAAAAGGGAGTTACTTTGGAATTTATATACTCATTTTGAGAAGTGTGTAAATAATGCAAAACCCAGTTGATCACCAAAATTCAAAAGGACCTATTATATCTTATAAACATTCTACACAA